CGGGACGAAAGGAAGAGCAATGATTTCCTGTTCAATTTTTTCTTTAATAAAATGACGATCAACCTCCACATGTTTTGTCCGATCATGTTGGACTAGATTCTGTGAAATGTTGATTGCTGCTTTGTTATCGCACATCAATCTACACGTCTTTCTAGAAAATAACCGAAGCTCCATGAGTAATTTTCGTATCCACAGCACTTCAGTAATTCCAATCTTGATTCCTCTAAATTCTGCTTCAGCACTGGATAAGGCCACGACCTTTTGTTTCTTGCTCCTCCACGAAAACAAGGTTTCCTTCAACTAATGCAAAGTACCCAGCTGTAGACCTCCGATCAACCGGATTTCCTGCCCAGTCTGCATCTGTGTAGGCAAGGATCTCAAGATGTTCGGCCTTTCTGAAGAAAACTCCATAATCGAACGTCCCCTTCAGATATCTTACAACTCTCAAAGCTGCCTTCATGTGTTCGATCTGAGGCCGATGCATAAACCGACTGATCACTCCCACGGCATAGGCAATATCTGGACGAGTGTCAATTCCATGATTCCAAACCTAGAATCCGACAGAAAGAAAAATTAGTACAACATAAAATGAACAAGAATTGTACATACTAAGTGTTAAACAATACATTCGACATGTTTTTGGGAGAGAAAACATTCTTTCTTATTATTTATTTATTTTTTTTGTACATAATGAGACTACAAATATATAGAGTACATAATGAGATAAACAAGGAAAGAATAAATCACAAAACTTCTAAATCGGATCTTGAATATCTTGTTGATTTTCTTGATTGATTTGGTCATATCTTTCCTTGTAAAACTCTGATACTCTATTCTGTTCTAACACTCCCCCTCAAGCTAAGTGACGGGATTTCCGATACTTAGCTTGCTCAGTACTTCATTAAAATTTCTTGAGTCAACGACTTTTGTGAGTATGTCGGCCAACTGGTACTTCGACGGGACGAAAGGAAGAGCAATGATTTCCTGTTCAATTTTTTCTTTAATAAAATGACGATCAACCTCCACATGTTTTGTCCGATCATGTTGGACTAGATTCTGTGAAATGTTCATTGCTGCTTTGTTATCGCACATCAATCTACACGTCTTTCTAGAAAATAACCGAAGGTCCATGAGTAATTTTCGTATCCACAGCACTTCAGTAATTCCAATCTTGATTCCTCTAAATTCTGCTTCAGCACTTGATAAGGCCACTACCTTTTGTTTCTTGCTCCTCCACGAAACAAGGTTTCCTCCAACTAATGCAAAGTACCCAGCTGTAGACCTCCGATCAACCGGATTTCCCGCCCAGTCTGCATCTGTGTAGGCAAGGATCTCAAGATGTTCGGCCCTTTTGAAGAAAACTCCATAATCGAACGTCCCCTTCAGATATCTTACAACTCTCAAAGCTGCTTTCATGTGTTCGATCTGAGGCCGATGCATAAACCGACTGATCACTCCCACGGCATAGGCAATATCTGGACGAGTGTGTGATAAGTAGATTAGTTTTCCTACAAGTCGTTGGTACCTCCCTCGATCTGTCTCTTCTGCTCCTTCTGTGAATTGTAGTCCATGATTCAGTTCTATAGGAGTAAGTGCTGGTTTGCAGTCCATCATTCCTGTCTCTGCCAGAAGATCCAGTGTATACTTCTTCTGGCTCATAAAGATTCCCACCTTCGATCTCAGAACCTCAATACCCAAGAAATACTTCAATCTTCCCAAGTCTTTCATCTCAAATTCTTTGAAAAGATTTTCTTTCAGTCAAATAATTTTCTCAGAATCATTCCCTGTTAAGATCATGTCGTCAACATAAATGATGATACAAGTGATAAGACTCCCTCGGTGTTTGATGAACAGGGTATGGTCTGAATTACTGTGTTGGTAACCATATTTTTCATGGCTGCTGTAAGTCTCCCAAACCATGCTCTTGGTGACTGCTTCAGCCCATATAAAGTCTTCCTCAGTCGGCATACCTCATTTTCTTTAAACTCGAATTCAAACCCTAGAGGCGGCAGCATATACACTTCTCGCTTCAATTCTCCGTGTAAGAAGGCATTTGTTACATCAAATTGGAGTAGATCCCAATCTTGATTAACTGCAATAGATAAGAGGACTCTAACAGTGTTCATTTTTGCCACGGGTGAAAAAGTATCTGCATAGTCAATCCCATATGTCTGAGCATACCCTTTAGCCACGAGCCGAGCTTTATATCTGTCAATTGAGCCATCTGGCTTCCGTTTGATAGTAAAGACCCATCTGCATCCAATCGGCTTCTTGCCAGCTGGTAGATGACATTTCTCATATGTCTTATTTCGAGCTAACGCCTCCATCTCCTTGTCAATAGCCCCTTTCCAGTTAGGATTCCGAAGAGCCACTTCCTCTGAATGAGGAATAACATCAGAATAAAGTGCATCCTGATATTTTGAAGCATCATC